CCCAAAGGCAGGACGGGGGACGGAGCCGGTGTCCGACAGACGTGGGGGGCCGCGGTCCATCCCGTTGTCACGGCTTTGCCCATCTCTGCGGCCTGGAGGGGGTTGCTTGGATTTTGGCTCCTGGGGCATGTTTGGTGCCTGGGGTAGCAGTGGAAGGAGGGGATACAGCAGGGTGGGTGACTGGGGGCTGAGATCCTCCTGGAGCCACCTACCCAGGATTTTGGAGACTTGGGATGCTGGAGACCTGGGATGTTGAGACCAGGGATATTGGAGATGTGGGATGATGCGACCTAGGATGTTGAAAACCCAGGATATCGGACATGTGGGAAGTTAAGGCCTGGGATATCAGGGGCCCAGGATGTCAGAGACCTGGGATATTGGGGACCTGGGATATTGAGACCAAGGATCTTGGAGACCTAAGATAATGGAGATGTTGGATACTGAGACCTGGGATATCAGGGGCCCAGGATGTCAGAGACCTGGGATATTGGGGACCTGGGATATTGAGACCAAGGATCTTGGAGACCCAAGATAATGGAGATTTTTGGATATTGAGACCTGGGATATCAGGGGCCCAGGATGTCAGAGACCTGGGATATTGGGGACCTGGGATATTGAGACCAAGGATCTTGGAGACCTAAGATAATGGAGATGTTGGATACTGAGACCTGGGATATCAGGGGCCCAGGATGTCAGAGACTTCCTGGGATGTTGAGACCAAGGATCTTGGAGACCCAGGATAATGGAGACATGGGATATTGGCTATGTGGGATATTGGAGACCTGGGATATTGGAGACCCGGGATATCAGAGGATGGGGAAGGCGTGAGTGCAGGCAGGGTCTGTGCCCCATCCAAAAGCTGTGCTGGACCCCGGCAACACCCACACGTGCCCCGTCATGGCCAGCACCACCAGCTCAGTTCCTATTTATTCTACTTTTTTCTTCTCCTTTATTTGAGACACGCAGTGATGGGGTGAGTACAAAATACAGAGTAAAAAGGGGGATGAAAGCGGGGGGTGGCGTGAGGAGCTATTTTGTGCAGGGCAGCGGCGCAGGCAGCGGCTTCTCTCCCTCCTTCTCCTCGGTTCCGGCTACTTCTTGGCTGGCTCCTCTGCTTTCTTGCCTTGGCTCTCGACGGTGACGGGGATGGTGATTTCAGCGGACTGGATGGCCCGCTTGGGCAGGGGCGCTTCCACGGGGAGC